TATATAGTTTTAGTTTTTTATTTATGTATTAAGATAATTACTGATTGATTTTTTTTGTCATGTTTTGATGAGATTATTTTTAGACAAAATATATTTTGTACAATAAGTGCAAATTTTTTTTCAGATAAAAATGGCCATTGATTTAACCAAATCACGTCGTAAATTACCGTCTCCTATGCTTGATCGATCAGCCTACAGCATATTTTCTGTACTGAAACAAGCAATAGGAAAAGATCTTACTCGATTTTCTATACCTATTATTTGGAATGGTAAATAAAGAATTTTTTTCAACACATTATGTTCATTACCTTTTCTTTTTCTTTTTAGAACCTCTTAGTTTTCTTCAACGTTTATCAGAATGTTTAGAACATTCATCATTACTTGATCAAGCTGCATTAGCTGATACACCAATTGAACGATTTCATTTACTAACAGCTTTCATTGTATCACATCTATCAAATCATCTCGAACGAACGTCAAAACCATTTAATCCATTATTAGGTGAAACATTTGAATTGAAAAATGAAAAAGATGCACCATTTCATTTTATTGCTGAACAAGTTTGTCATCATCCACCTATATCTGCTATGCATGCTCGTGGATTAAATTGGATTTTAACTGGAAATATTCAACCTGTCATAAAATTTCATGGAACAAATGTAGCAGCTTTAGATGAAGGTTAGAAAATATTTCATACACTCAGGTTTCATGTTATTTACATTAATTTATCATTCAAAAATTGTATATTATTTTTCTTTTATAAGGAAAAATGATGAAAAACAGTTCATTTGACTCCAAAAAAAAGCGATAGACTTCATATGCTTAGAATTCTCATCAAATTTGATTGAACTCGTATTTTCTTTAAATTTGTTTTTTCTTATGAAAAGACATCAACTGCTCAATGTTTTATTTCTTGCTAGCTTTACTTTTATAAATTATAGTTTTCATGAATATATTGTACAATCTAGGTAAATGGGTACTTCGTATAAGAAAAAAATCTTCAATATCTCGTTCATCATCGCAATCAAGTTTTCATTCATGTACTGAAGAACATAATGAACAATACGAAGAAGTGAATGATCAAGATAATGATTATGAAGAATATACATGGAAATCACCAGATGTAGTTGTTCATAACATTTTATTTGGTCATTTGTGGTGTGAATTTCAAGGACAAATTACTTTACAACATACACAATCGAATCGACGAGCTGTTCTTACTATTAAATCTCATTCATGGTTTGCATCACAAGCAACAAAAGCCTCTGAAATGTTTAAATTTAGTGGATATATCTATGATGGTATATATATCTTTCATTTTTTTAAAATACTTGTTAGCGACGTAATTTCGTGAAATTAAAATCTATGAATCTCAGTATGATGAGCTTTCCGAGAAACTTTAGTTCAGAGAATTTATAAATAAAAAACTAGTATTGGTGATCTAACATAAAAGAAGAATATCGACTTTCACTTTATGTATGTTTACTTTTAAAAAAATACTGAAATGAGGCAGCATTTTTCAAAGCTGAATAGTGTATTCTGTCGACAACTTCTAAGGATGTGAAGTCCGTATGCTAAGTTTTTATCTGAATATACCTCGATTTTTCAAGAAAAATCGATTTACTTTTTGTTAGGAATGTGACGGAGTACGAATATACAAACAGAAAAATGCTCTTATAGCTGAATGGGAAGTTTGAACTCAATATCAAACGGTACAGACTCCTTCCTCGAAATCTGTAGATGATTGTAAAATGAAAACGTGTTCCTTCAAGTTTTAGCAAGTTCTCTAGAAAATTCGTTTTTTTTTTTGAAATCCCAACTTACTGAAAATTCCATCATCGATGCAGCTTGTATCATTAAAAAAATATTCGCGCATTATTTTTTTAATTAATAATCACCTGAAAGAGCCAACATTTGTACATATGCTTGTGTTAAAAGAATTTGCCGAGAAAAGTAACCTTCGAGAAAAATCAAAGTGAAATGAAGAAAGGAGTATGTATCGTTTGTCCTGAAATGACTCATATAATAGTAAAAGCAATATACAGATCAGTTTCCATGAATAATAAAAATATGTTCTTTGCATACTTTTTGAAGAGATGTGATTAAATTATACTTGTCAATCAAATTCAAATTTGATTATGTTTAGGAGATGATAAACTCAGTGCATTTCATGGTAATTATGGTCATTGTTATTATGCTATTGATAATATAAATGATTTTGAATCAAAAACTACATCTTGTTGTTCAGTTGGTGGTCATAATTCTATTCAATTTAGTTTCAATACACTAAAAGCATCACCATGTAATGTTATTCTTACTCCATCATCTCGTCTTATTTGGCATCGATGTTTATCATCAATGACTGATGAAGAACTAGAATCAAGACCTCAGTATTATTATTTTACATCATTTACAATGTGTCTTAATGAAGAAATATTTTCAACAAAATTACCACCAACTGATTGTCGAAATCGTCAAGATATACGATTTCTTGAAAAAGGTATTTTAGAAGCTGCATCAGCTGAAAAACATCGTCTTGAAGAACAACAAAGAACAGAAGCAAGAAATCGTGAATGTGACTATCAACCATTATGGTTTAAGAAAAATGACAAGAAAGAATATATTTATACGGGAGAATATGAAAAAAGAAAATTTGATCATTGTCCAAATCTTTTTTCTCAAACGTCATGTCTCTAATAGTTGTTTTACATATATTCACTTGTCTCTTCTCAATATGATTTTCTCAGTTATGCATTCCTATAACTCTAGTACTTTCTTTTTTACTGTTATTTAGAAATATTTATTTATTAATTTAATAAATATATCAACCGAATTTGCTAGTATCTTTGCATCATAGCATGTCTTAGTGAATTCTAGACAAGAGATCGACATATTATTTATAAGGTAGGAGGATGTGTGAGAGGCCAGACGCACATCTCGACATTTATTACTATTCTTTTTTTTTGTTAATTTTCGACTATTTGTCAACAAAATTATCAAGTTGAATTGGGTTTGATCAAGATTATTAAACGAGTAGCTTCTTGCTTTATTTATTCCAACAAAATATTTACTCAACTATAGAAAAAAGAGGAATTCTATCTACTGTAATAACTAGGCTCTGTCGCCTATGAGAGGCAGTAATATGAATAACACAAAGTCATTGATGCTAAGACAATCATCACTATTGATTATTAAAACAGTAAGAATATACTACATTTGATACAAAAGTTACACTTGTAAATCGAATATTTGAGACAAGAGTTTAAAAAAAAATTATACCATTTTTTTAATTCTTATAGATTTATTATGGCTTCATAATTGTAATGATTTAAAGAAACAGTACATTCCATTATTTAGTATTCTTCTAATCGAACATTATTTATCGAGTGATTTTTTTAAAAACTAATCGATTAGTTAGAGTCAATGATCTTTCTTCCAACCAAATAGAGTATCCATTTAAACCTATTGGTTTTAGGCCTGTTCAACTTTATTTATTATTATTGAATAAAATCTCAGTCGTTTTCATAGTAAGACAAAAAGAAGTAGTAAAGAGATGACATGAATTAGAGATTATGAGAGAAAACAATAAAGAATTATTTATTGTGAAGAGAAGATATTTGAGAACCAGAGAAACCAAAATAGTTAACTAAAGAACGAAATTAATTACTCTAAATCATTAACAAGAAAGCGGCTCAGTTTTTCTAATTTCGTTTTCAATAATGAAGTCCGGTAGTTGTATATAGCAGAAAAAAATATCCAACAAGAAATAAACTTATCATATATCTTTCTTACATTATGATCTAACCGATTAGTAAGACAATTAAAAAAACTAACATCACTGGTTCATCTGTATATTGACTAAAAATAAAGTTTCAGAGTAATAAAAATAACTTATAGGAAATAATTTTATATAGTTGTATTACGTTTCTAGTTGTGACGTAAATAAAGGAAGCTAAGCCTTCCTCCACCAAATAAATCCCATTCATTTTTAAGCTCCACTAACCGTTGAAATCCTGGTCACGTTACGAATTTTTAGCGCACATTGTTGAGTATACACGCGAACTCCTAAGAAGACACTAATACCACGTATTTGTTATTATTCACAGATTAGAAAATATCAACATACTAATGTTTGAATTTCTTTTTTCTTTTTTTTTTTAAACAATCGTGTTAGAATTAATCATGTCTGTAAAAGATCGAATTCCATTAAATAAAGAAGATGTATATAGTTTAATAATTTTAAAATCGATAGTTATATAAAAAAAATATATATTTTTGTTTTAAATTCATTCCATAAAATTATTTGAAAAGTTACAATGGAGGTTTTGTTGCTGGTATTCGAATAAAATTTATTTTATTGAGCAGAAATTGGCGTTGTAGGTTTTTGTTTATGTTGAGCCATTGCATAAGCTTTAGCAGCACATAATGTTAAACCATGTGGATGATAATCAACTCGATAATTTGTTCTATGATCATGTTCTCCCATTTGATTAATCATTTTAATTTCAGGCATATAAGCACGTGCTCGTTGGCCTAATTTTATAAAAATAAGATCGAAATCAATGTAAAACAAAAAAAACAGAAACTAAATTACCTGGTTGGCCTTTATATGTTTCACTGGTTGTTGTTAAACCTTCAAATTTACTTGTTGGTGGTATATAAATACTAGGCAATGGTTCACCATATTTTCGATTGGATTTTATAGAGTCATATGGTTGAAAATGATATCGAGACGTTGTTACACTTTCCATAGGAACTTGTTTGTCATTAACTGATAATGTTGTCCTCATTGGTATTAAACGAATACGTGGTAAAGCAGTTATATCTAATGGTTGAAAATCTCTCTAGAAAAAAAAAAAAAACACATAAAATCTTCGATTGATATTGTTGATGATTTACTTGTGTTACTGACATTGTATCCATCTTTTGTATCGGTGCAACATAAGGTTTTTTATCTTTTGGTAGTGCAGCTGGTTCACGAGGATATCTACTTGTATCAATACCTGCATAATCAGTACGATATTGACTTTTACTATAAAATTAAAAAAAAAGTTTCAAATGAATTTATTTCATTGAATATTAAACTAACGTTACAGCTGGTGTCAATGAATTGCCTAAATTAATTTGAGATACAAATGGTTCCATATCAGCTGGTGGTGATGGTCGATGATTTGGATAAGGACGATAATCTACACTTGTTTGTGTTATAGCATACATTGGACGACGTGTATATACTTTTTCTTCTTTTGATTTATCTTTTCTTTCAGTTGGTGCACTTCGTGCTGATAATGGTTCATGTGGAATATAACTTTCACGATACATTGTACGTAAATCCATTGAACCTGTAGTAATATTTCAAAATAATTAATTTTTATTTTTAGAATAAAGATTATTATTTACCAGAAACTTTAAGATTTTCTCGATTTTCAAGTCGAGGAATAGGTTTTACATTTGATGTTTTTGGAAATGGTTGAAATGTACTTCCTGTTGAGGTACTAAAAGAACGGCTTGAACCAGGAAAAAGAACATGACCTAAAAAATCAATTGATAATTAATTTTTTCTTGTTATTTTTCAAATGAGAAAATAATAGAAGACGAAACAACACTGTAGTAGAACATGTCCTAATACTTGGAACAAACCAAATTTTTGGATATGTCATATATAAATCAGTTGAAATTCTTCGAACAATCTCCATCAGCAACAATTTAATGCAATATTTTTAGTTTTAAAACAATATTTCATGTCTTTTCTAAAGCAAAAGTAATACAATACTCTCTAAAAGCTTAGCAAATATGAAAAGAAAGAAGACTTCTAATCATGAATTCCCTAAAACTACTTATTAATGGCACGAAAAGACAAAGATCATAGACTTGTATTCAAGATATCGAACTTCATTATGATAACGTTCCACTATATATTCATAGAGATGCTTTTACTATATGAGACTGTATTTCATCAATCAAACAACATTCAATCCAAAATGATGAGTTTTTTTAATCATAGACTATTTGAAAAAAATACTTTCAACAAATGTCTTCAAACAAATTGATTGTGTGTGTGTGTGATTAAACATTGCTATTAGCTCTCAAATACTTAATTAACTTTTTCCTGTGGAATTTTATTGACCAAAATCTTCACTATTGCTATATACTAAGTATTTTAAATTACAGTAAACAACCTTTTTTTACATAACAAATTATAATCGAAATGCAAGCATGACCATCATGAAACCAATAAACGATTGATTATATAGGATTTCAGGTAAATATTTCAACAGTTTGGTTCCGTCAACAACAAATTATAAAGTATTTTTATAGCACGTCAACTAAAACATCTTCTATTATTTTTACAAGAAGAATCTTACTCATTATTGTAAATGAACAATAAAAAATAAGAAACTATTGATTCAAAGAATACTTCAAAAACAGACCGTCGCGCAACTGTTCAAACATTGAAAATGAAGGTGTATCCAAAAAGAATTTTCACATAGGTACTAAAAATTCAGAAACTTTTGTTATTTTTCTTAGGAAATAATCAATAACTTGCAATTATTGAAGAAGATTGATATACCTCCTCTCTTGTGTGCTATATACTAAACAGACTCATGAAAAATCAGTCATTGCCTTCTATAAAACTATGATACATTCTAAAAACAAGACTGATGATTAAGATACAGTTAATTTATTTTTATTTTTTGATTCGATTTACCTATTCAAACAAACCTTGAAATATTATTAAAAAATCTTCATCTTATTTTTTTTTTTGCTATTTAAATATGCATAAAAAGAAAACAAGAGATTTCTTATTATTATTATTATTTTCTTCTCCAACTTAAGACTCTTTTCATCGTTTACAAAGAACAATATTTGAAGAGAACATAAACAAAAAAATAAACGATTTTTCTTTTCATATTTTCAAGTGAATTTTAAACAGCAAAAGAGAATTAGTTTCGTTTATTTGTTTTTTTACCTGCAACAGGAGGTAATTCAGCATATGGTTGTGATCGTGCTGAATGCCATGGTTTAAAATGTGATCGAGTTGTTGTTTGAGATGATAATGGTGCTGTTGGTTCACTGAGATTAATACTAAATAACACATGATAAGAAAAAGAAATATTACGAAAAAAAAAGAGATATTTACTGAGAATCTTTTAATGGACGAAGTGCAATTGGCATAATAGGTTTTTCAACATATTCAAGTTGATATTGACTTTGAGTTTCCATTGGAACTGCACGAATTAATAAAGAATCATTCTTCTAAGAAAACAAAAAGAGTCGATAGTTTTAGATTAAAATTTCCATAAAAAAACATGCCGGTTTCATATGCATAGTCGAAGGATTTTTAATATTGCTTAATGGTGGAGGTTGATAATGATCCCTCTGTGAACTAAGACCAGTCATTGGTGCGTTTTTAAACGATATCGGTATTTCATTATCAGGAGCAGGAGGACATGGTTGACGACGATGATCTGTTGATCCACCGGATACATTTGCTGCTGCTTGAAATGTTGCTTGATAATGTGAAAGAGGACAACGAAGTGATAATGGTAATTTTGTTCGTTGTACTAGTTTTCGCTTGCATTCAGGGTGATGTTCATAACCTGCACGATCAAAACAACCATCATCACATAGTTCACAGGGACATTTGTCAAATTTTGGTAAATCAGTAAGTTGCAATTTAGCAACATCAACGTTCTCCAATTTCATTTTCTCGTCAACCAGCAATGAATAAGACCATTAAATAAATGATAGCAACCAATTTTGAGTATGTTTACCTTGCAAAAACAAATGGTAAAGAGAAAAAAAAAGAAACGCAGAGAAGATGAAGAAAGAAAAATGCAATCGCATCACAACTTGAATGACTTCAGTTTTTCTATGCGTATGTGTTGCAATGTTAAATGAGCATTTCTACTGTTCTTTTAATCAGTACAATGTGATCGTTCTTTGTCTGGTGAACTTGAAGTAAATTTTGTGGATTCAAAAGAAAATATCGAATACTTCGCAAAAAAAGTAAAAAACAAATGACAAATTCAAAAGGTTTTATGGTATAAAAAAAAAGAAATTTAAAACTGATTCATGGAGATTTTGATATTTGTATTAGTTAAATATTAATAGGTTTAAAATTGAAATATAGATTAAACTTTATTTTAAAATTCAATGTTTTTGAAAGTGTCAACAATGTAAAGAAGTACTTTTAGATTATCACAATTTTAGCTTAATAGAATGTTACATTAAAAGGATATTGGTAATTTAAAAAAAAACATGAGACTCTTGTATCGTTCGTAGGATATGAATGATTTTCGGAACTGTAATATCTCGCTAAGATAACAATCTTTTACGCTGAAATTTGCACAGCATTCTATTGACAAGTAGTTTTATCTTTGAACAAGTTTTCACTTCGCAATATAATTATTGTTAGTATGCGTCATGCCATAGGTCAACTTTACGCAACGAGTTCGAACTCAAAAAGATTTATCGTTTAGATCAGTTGCTTTGTTAAGTTATTTCGTATTATTTTGACTATACCTCGGTTTTTTCAATAACAACTCATTTCGCTAAGATCGACATCAATTTTTTTCAAGTGACATTCTTCATCAATCTTATTATTAACGTTACCATGTAAATCTGACACATAACTCCCTGTGGACTCAATATTTTAAATTTATAATAACTACATGAATTTGATTCAAAGTATTCAATGTCAATGTATGAAGAATTTTATTTCTATTTAATATTCTTATTCAAAAACAAAATACTTATTATGTATACTACGAGTATTTAAGATGTTTACTACTCTCAATACTAATCTATTCAATCTATTGACGAATTCTTTTGAATAGAAAAAATATCAAGAAATTTTAATTCAAAATCTATCAATTCTAACTCTTTCTCATTACAAAATAGGACATTTCGTTTCGTTTCCATCGTTATTGTATTATTGACATTTTCACAGCAATAACAAGCATAAAACAAAAATAAACAAAATGATAACACAAAAAAAAATCAAGTATCGATAAAAATAATAAGACAAAAAAAAATAAGCAAAAATTCATAACAAATTTAATTAAATGTTTGTTGAGTAGATTGAAAAACAAAGTTGTTTATTTAAATGTTAACTCGCTTTGTTTGCATGGCATAGTAACTGTAAAGCACTCATTTTAGAAATGAGCGAAGACATACATGAAAAGATAACTATGTATTTTTCAACTATGGAATGAATCTTCACTGAACTTCAAGACGAAAAAGAATCCTATCTTATAAATAAAGAAAAAACAAAGGATAGCAATTTATAGTTTATCAAAACAAAAAAAATAAATAAATAATAAAAAAGGGAAAAATGCAACGTCAATGCTTCGAAGAGTGATTGAAGTATAATTGAATTACCTATGAACTATCATGATGTCCCAGTGAATTGCGTTAAGCATCATAATTCACTCATACACTTATTTGAAAACAATATGATCTGTAATATTATCACTATTGTATGATTCAGTACATTAGTGGAAAATTCTACACAGGAATCAAGCTAGAGAAAAAAGTTTTTAGAATATATACACTCAAAGTTGACTTGTTATTCAAAATTCTTTTTGTTTGATAACTGCTCCTATGACAGATGACCTTTCACCTTACTACGAACTTGTTCGCTTAGTTCTATCTTGCTTACTGCCTGAGAGAAGTAAATGATGTTTCCAAATTCGATATCTGTTCAAAGTTACCATGAAGTGTGTCAAAGGGATGAAGTTGAGAGTAATGTTGAAATAGCAAGATTGATCGTTATTTTCGTTGTATGTCAGCCATGTTCTATTAGAAATTATTTGATAGAAACTGCATTCAATCTTTGAAAATCTTATTGTTGCTTTTGATTGAACGATATCTAATAATATTGTTCTATTTTTCTGACTATTTACAATAGAAAACAAGTAAACATCTATTTAATGCATATTTTACGCATTGCCTCAATACTGAATGTCAAGTTATTTTCCAGTTTTTCTTTGAAGTTATGACAAATATTATACTTAACAGAAATCTGCACTGGAAGATCAGTTTACTTGAAACAGACACACGCTCCTGATTTTCTATCCTATCAATAACTACATAGACCATCTACCTGCTGTTTTTTTTTAAACTAGCGGTAAAAAAAATATTCGTTCTTTTTAGAAGGAAACGTAGGTATCAAAACATGCAGTGCGGCATATTTTGCTGCTAGAATATGACAAATAACTTGTATTGACTGAACACAATCATGACCAAGTATAGATGATCACTATAATATTTATCAACCAACTTTTTCTTATTTAGTTTATTTATCCATTTCGTCACGTTATCATTCGTACTTTTGAATCCGTTGTTTTTTATTATTATCTTGCATGATTCATATACCTTCTTAATATGACAAGACTTCTTAAGTCATTTTCAATTAGTTCATAACATTCTTATTCAAACATAGAGTTTTTTCTCTCTTAATGTTGATATTTTCTTTTCTTGTCAATTCTAAGCAGAAACATGCTATATTAAATTCATAAATCTTTTGTATAGTCATGCCATTTCGGCATACGTGACTTCCTTTTTTCTCTGTTTCTATTCAATTATCATTCTAGTTTTAATATGCTAATATGATAGAAATACACTAGACGCGACATATACTTTAGACTTCTTTGAAACCTTAATTCTTCATTTATAAATATGTGTGGTCTATACAACGTAATTATTTATAGTGCTATACATCTGATTTTCTTTTTTTTTTGTATAATTTTTATATGCTACCCTATTTTTATTATTAATAAGATCTGGTTTGTCACTGCTTAACTGATGTGATGTAAATCATTAATTTGATTGTATGAGGACAGAAGTTGTTGTTCGTTAACAAATGTTGAAGATGATGACGGGTGAAAAGAACAATATAAAAACAAAGAAATTGTTGTCTTTCAACAATAGAATTGTTCACTTCGATTGCTATTTGATCAAAATGAAATAAGTCTTGATAAACTTCAAGGAGGACTCTTTGTCCTGATTAAAAGAAGCAAATGATTTTTTCGGGTTAAAATTTTTACAATTCTTCTATTTCATTGTCATGGATTGTTAGAATAAAATATGAAGTACAAAAAAAATGTTGTTTGATTTTCATATTGATATCATATGATACAAACTGTTCGACATTGCTCTTTTTGAGTTTTTTTATATCAAATCAATCTATTCTTCTGATATGATTATTTTTTCTTATCATAATATAGTATAAAAAGTAATATATTATAGTACAAATATTCATTATGAGTAGTAATTATTGACATTGGACAATACTATGAGAACTACTGGATGCTCAACCTTTTTGACGTAGCTTCAGTAATATGATTGAGAAAAATGTTCAATATACTTTCAAGTTCAATTGAGACCAGATTAAAATAAATAGATGCAGCATCATTAAAGACTTCTTTTTATAGATTGAAATTCAACTTTACTTATATCATTTTCTCCCCCATAAAGAAGACTTTTTTCGACAGGCCACAAGAATATTTTGAGTTCAAATTAAATTATACTCCGAACAACTCCTATTCAAACATAAAACCATATTATTTTTGAATAACAAAATTCATGTATCATATATCATTACCTGTGGATCAAAAACTAAAAATTTACTGGCATCAGGTTCACTGCGAACAGACTTATTCGAACCGAAACTCAAAACTGCAGTTGAGTCCATGTACGATTCAGATAATTATTTTCTCACATCTCAATGTTGAGAAAACAAAATCTCGTCAGCATTCAGTTGAATTCTATAGATTTTTAGCGACTTCTCTGACGTTTCTTATATGAAAGTTATTTCTTCCTCATTTACAACGTTCTGTTATCAGCATGCCAATATTGATTAAAATGAAATCGATCGATATATTGAAAACACTCATCACACTCTATTAAATACATAAAGATTATTGAATTCAAATTCGAATTGATTATAAATGATTATCGTTCAAAATATTTTGTTTTTATTTTCTAATATTATGCATTAGTTTTTCTGTACTTGGTACTTTATATATACGTAGCTTTTATAGAGTATTTTATCTACCTGTTGTTTTTTTCGTTCTTTGGAAATTATATATGCAGAAGATGTGTAATGTGTGCACTATAGTTGCAATGCAATAAGCTGCTGAAAGAAAAAAGAGAAAAGAATTTCTAATTATAGTCTAATAGAAAAAGAAAAAAGATTTTCTTTTTTTTTTCATCAGGAAAAAGAAAAACATCGTCATTTGCAGCTTTTTTCTTCTTCTTGTTCCCTTCACATTCTCTTCGTTTACGATGTTATCGTCTACAGCAAGCACTTTGTTTATATTATTTTACCTAGTTATTTTACTATTTGCTATATCAGATCTTAAACGATTTATTTTTCATGTTCATATTTCACGTGTTGATCGTGCACCTGTAGATATCGATATTGATTCATCATCATCATTATGGTATCCAATTATAATTGGAATTATTTTTAATATTTTTATTTTAAAATTTTCTATTATAAATATATATATTCTTTTATGGCGACAAAATTTCTTACGTCAACTTATTTGTTCAACATTAATTCTTTTTTGTTTATTTACAATACGTTTTATAATTAATATAATTCTTACGAAATATCGAAATGGTCTTGCAACACCAACACTTGTTGAACGATCATTTTTTGCATCATCATTATCATTAGAAGAAGAACTTACTACAAT